GGAATGACAGGACCCGCCTGGACCTGCTCGTGCAGGCTGGCGTGAACGCGGTCGTTCTGGTGAGCTGCTGAGGGGCTTGGGTGGGCTGAGCATCCTGTTTGAACGAACCTCTTTGACGCAGGCTTAGCAGCGCTGCAGCTGCTCTTTTCAGTACAGATCCTTTTGCTTTAGGACATGACAATTTGTGTATCTCCATCTCAAATTCAGGCTGGGGTCGTCGGATGAGAAGGGTTTCATTGCTCCAGAACTTGTTTGAAAGTCTTGAAGGCCAAGTAAAGAAATGCTATCAGTTACTACAGAGCCTCCTACCAGTGCTTCCTGCCCTCTGACACCATCCTCTCCTAACTAGTTGTGCAGAACGGCGTGTTTGACTTCTTACAGTTTCCCTTAAACTGCTCAGTGTTTGTTCCTGTGTTTTTCTCTTAATTGCTTGACACTCAGGGTTGCAGGGCTGGAGTAGTCAGCTCACAGGGGCTCTGCTGGGCTCCCAACCTGCTCTGTAAGCTCTCAGGTACCGCAGCCACCGCCTGTGCTTGCACAGCGTTTTCTCATCCATCATTAGCTTGCAAGTCTGCTGTTCTCTGAGGATGTGGCTGAATGGTGCTGAGCTGGAAATGTTCAACGGATGCAGCTGGATCACTGAGAATTGGCAGGACTCGAGCACTAGGTGCTGGACATCTGGTATTCCAGCAGGGAGACGTGTCCCACCTCCTGCCCTTCTGTGTCACAGGAATGTTCACGGTTCTGCCTGTAGTTGGAGACAGGGCTGGTGACATCCTGCTGGCAGCATCAGCCCCTTCTTCTTGCTGCCTGCAGCCAGAGGTGCTGCGAGGAGCCTGCCGTGGGTAGCAGGGCAAGCTGCAGGATTTAATGGGCATTATTGAAGTCTTGAAGATAAACTGCCTTGTGTAGGGTATTACTGACTTGGCAGCTGCCTTAGCAGAGAGCCTAGTAGGCAGAGTGAAGATCTGAGGACCCTCCAGAACTCTCCAGCAGAAATTCTGGTTTAAATATTTTTTCCCTTCTTTTGCAGGATTCCTCTCAAGGAAACTCCATCTTTCAGATCAATATGATTAAATATATTAAGGAGAAGTACCCTAACCTGCAAGTTATTGGAGGAAATGGTATGAAATTGTTGAAGTCTGTTCTTGTTTCTAAAATGTGTTTGCTTCATAGACGTAGGCGGAGCTGCAAGGATGTGTGTTAGACTCTCCTCTTGTTGAATTTCTTGAACTTAAAATGGTTTCTCCAGACTTGTGGGACAGAGAAAGCTGCTCTGCAGCTAAGTGCCCTGCTGCTGCTTCTCTGCTGCAAATACTTGAAATTTCTGTTCTGCAGCGCAGTGCACTGTAGGTCCTTACCCTCCAACCTCTGCTGCACCAGTTCAAAGTCTTTAAAATTATGGATAATTGTAAGAATGAGTTCTGCTTTATGTGGAAATCCGATGGAAATTTTCCTTGCCTCTTGACCGTAGAGCTCAGCAGTTCTTGTCTTCACCTGGTTATCCTGTGAGTGGTGGTGGTGTCAGCTCGTGCTCTGCCCTTACTACGTAGCATTGCCCAAAGCATTTGATGCCATGGCTGTGACCTCTGCCACCTCCCTGGTCACCACCTGCAGGCTCTCCAGGGGCTGTGAAAAGTCTGTAATTTGAGGCACTCCCCCTGAAAATAGGGCTGGGAGGGAAGAGCCATGGGAAACAGCAGCCTTTGGGTGCAGCTGTGTTAGAGTAGCCCAAGAGGCCGATGTTTTTGTACCTGCCAGGGCCAGCTGGCACTGCAAGGAGCCTGTGTTTGCAGGTGGGCAGCGAGGCTTTGGTGCCAGCGTGCAGCTGCCACCCTGCGCGGGGCACGCGCCGGGGCAGAGAGGTGTCACGTGCAGCTCTGCTTGTCTCTCTTCAAACAAATTTCTGCTCTCCACAGTTGTGACTGCGGCTCAGGCCAAGAACCTCATCGACGCAGGGGTCGATGCCCTGAGGGTCGGCATGGGCAGTGGCTCCATCTGCATCACGCAGGAAGGTGAGAGAGATCAGCCGTCTCCTAAGTAGGTTGAAGACATCCGTTCAGTAGAGACCCTCTGCTGAAAGGCAGCGTAGCTGGGACGAACTCCTCCTGTTGTAAAGGAAACATCTACCAGCAAGCGGTCTCCTACCCCTCTGTGCAGGACGTTCTCAGCACTCGGGTCAAACCTGTGGGCTTGCAGCAGCAGCAAAGGCCAGTACTGACCGAGACTGAGTAGAGCAGGTGTGGCACACGTGGCTTTGCCCCAGGAGCCACGGAGGCTCCTGCCTAGTGTGGGGTGACCTTGGGGGCAGCTCTGCACGGAGAGGAACTTGCCAGATCTCCAGTGCTGACAGCCCCGGGGATGGGTTAGACTCGCCGAGCTGTCTGTGCTCCCCTTCCTGCTGGCAGCCGAGTGCATGATGCTGCAGTACTGGTCTGCTGGGCTTGACGCCTTCCTGCGATTTCCAGGCTGAAACGGGGTTTCTGGCCCTTGTCTCTGCTGTTAGCTGGAGTTTGTGCTGGGCAGCAGCAATGTCAGCCTTAGTGGAGGGGGGGTCCCCAGCCCGGCCAGAGGGCATGGCTGGAGGAGCGCTGCCGGGGGACAGGGACCCGGGGTCCCCTCTTTGGACCTGGGGGTGAGGCAGCGTGAGGTGCTGCTGCCTGCAGACACAGCCCCTCTCTGCTGTGCTCCTTGGGAGGCAGCAAGACGGCAGCTGGTGGCCGAAGGAGCAGCTACACTAGTGCTCTGCCGGTGCCGGCGCGCGGCCCAGAGCAGCCCTGGGACTGGAGCTGTTCTGCTGCGGCTGTGCTGCCTGCAGGGGCTTCCCTGTCAGGACAGCGTGTCCTGGGGGACCTTTTCTGAGGAGCTGCTGTGTGCTTGGCCGAAGGACAAGCTTCCCTAGGAGCAGAACGAGGTGTCCCCCACCGGGCTGAGCAAGAGGGCTCCTGGCACGCGCTGCTTTGCAGCCTGGTGACCGGCTCCAGGGGCTGCTGCTCCTGGGTGCTGTGGGCAGCAGGGCTGGGTGCCGCTCCGGGGCAGGAGCAGCACGGAGCGGGAGCCGTGGGGGCAAAGCTCTCGGCCGCAGCTCCCCAGGTCGCTGCCCTTCTGGAGCGAGAACTCTGGCTCCTGGGGTTAGCAGGATTCCCTCTCCGGATGGCTGCTGGGGTCGGGCGAGCGTGCGCTGTGCCCGGGGACTGGCCCCTGCTTTGCCTCGGGCTAGGAGAGGTTTGCAAAGTCAGCTCTGTCCCACACCGTATGCTCTGCCTAGTAGCAGGTCACTGCTGGGGCCCTTTGTTCTGCTGCTGTTCTTCTGTCTCTAAAATGTGTGTGTTTGTTTTTGTTTAGCTGCTCCAAAGATCCCTCCAGACCTAAAGTCCCACAGCCCCAAATGCCCTTCTACTGTCACGGGCACCTATAGTAAGTCACTTGCCCTGTTCCCAACCCTAATTATGTGTCTTGAAGCAGGACCCTGATTTGGCTGCACATGGCCCTACTGCTTGTTTGAGAATAATTTAGCTGTAGATGCACTTGGGGTTTTGTGGCTTTGGATACTGGTTTTGAATCTGAAATTCAAACAGAGAAGCCTTTCTGAGTTCCTAAAGCAGGGTCTGAACTATGACGGCTCAGGGCATTCAGGCCTGTCCACCCTCCATTCCAAAATCCAGCTTAGGAGCCTGACTGAGCTTCCTGGCTGCATCTTTGGGGTCTCCAGCTGGGTGTTCACCTGCTGATCCAGTGCTGGGAGACGCTCCCTGAGCAGTCCTTGATTCTGCTCTAAATCATCTGACCCCACTTGCGGGGAGGTTGTGCCCTGGCTAAGCTTTACTCAAAGCCGGCTCCTCTGGGGTTAAAAAAGGCTCTTACCTCTGTGTGGCCAACACTGCAGCTCTGTACCAGAACCACATCTTTACCCACAGACCTCTCCTCTGCCCAGCACAGGGTGTGAGTCTGATCTGTACTTTTCTGGTGCTACTCGATCAAGCAGACACCCAAATGGAGACTTTTTTTCCCCCCTTTTCTTAGTTTTTGAAGCACTGCACAGGGAAGAGTTTTCCATTGCGGATCCTGGAAGGTTTTCCCTAGTGTGGCAGTTGATCTTGTAGGGTCACCCTTTACAGATAGGCTAAAAAAAGACAAACCATCACCCTGCCTGGTGTGTGTGTGTGTGTGTGCGTGTGCTCTGAGCCTTGCTTGGGAAGCCTGCACGTCCTTCCAAGCTGTGGCACCGGGCCCTGGGAGAGTCGGAATGGCCTGAAGCTCCCGGAGCCCCGAGCCAAGCTCCTTGCTAAGGGCTGGTCTCCGTGGCTGCTGCTGTGAGGTCTCCACAAGTCCTGATCCCTGGCACAGGGAAGGGCACAATATGCTCAGCACCCTGGTCCTCTCGGATCAGGTCCTTCCTTCTACAGACATCTCTTCCCTTGCAGCATCTGTGGCCTCCACGTGGCCGATAGCAGCGCGGTGCCAAGCGAGACCACCTCTTTAACACTAACAGCATCGGTGCTGCCGCTGGCCGAGCCCTGGCTCCGTGCAGCGTTTCGCTCCGTTACAACCAGGTCTTCCCTGATCTCCACCTGGAGCCTGGCGTCGCTCCCGCAGCCCTGGGCGATCCCAGCCTCCAGGTCTTGGCAAACCTCTCCGTGGGGGTGAGCGCTGCCCCGGGCGGGCTAAACCACACCTGCAGGCTGCACTCCGAAGGACTAACCTTGCATGCCTGTAATCTTATCTTCTGTATCTGACTGACTAGAGAAAAGGCTTCCAGTAAATTGTGGGGAGGGGAAGGCTCCAGGAGAGCGGCTGATCTTGGTGTGTTTGCATGCCTGTGGCTGACGGATGTGTTGCAAGACGTGTCCTGTGATGGTTTCCCCTCAAGCCTTGCCACGTACAATAGAATTTCTCTAACTGCTGGTGGTAAATCCCAAGACTAGGAACTTTTCCATATGGGGCAGCTAAACTTAGAGTCTTTGCTGCACTGCAGGGCAGGAACATGACATTATTTCCTGCAACATAATGGGATTTTGTTCCCATGAAATCATCCTGCCCAATTCCTTTCCCACTGCTGCATGTGTGTTTGTGTGTGTGTGCAGATAGATTATATGTATGTATATATAAAGAAGATAAGTGTATATATACATATATCAGCTGTCTCCCAGCCAGCTGCCTTTCCATGCAAGAGCTGCTGGGTGCACAGAGAAGGTTCTGACACTGCTAGGCAAGAGCAGATGGTGGGACGTGCCAACGTGCTAGGGATGCTCTGGAGAGAAGCTTTGGGAGTTTGTTCCGCTTCCTTCCCAAGCTCCCTGCACATCTGCTGTGCATCAGGATGACCAAGACTTGGCTGATCCCAGGTACTCAAAAAAGGACCCTCGTCCCAAGGTCACCTACAGCTTTTGGTGTCAAGGGCCACGAGGACGTCCCAGCAGGCATCTCCTGGGCATCTGCTTCTCTTGCAACTTGGCCTAGGGAAGAAGCATCCAGGGATTTGCGTGTTCCCGAGTGCTGGAGCATGTGTGTGCTGGAAGCCTGCCGGGCCTGCTGGGGAGGGGAGCCTGCGCCGGGGGCGCTGAGCCCGTCTCCGCTCTCTCCCCGCCTGCAGTGCTGGCGTGCGGCCGCCCCCAGGCCACGGCCGTCTACAAGGTGTCCGAATACGCCCGGAGGTTTGGAGTGCCGGTGATCGCGGACGGAGGGATCCAGACGGTCGGGCACATCGCGAAGGCCCTGGCGCTCGGCGCCTCCACGGGTGAGCGGGTGCGCTCGGGCCGTCCCG